CAGCATGGGCAACTCAGAAATTTAGCAAGAGCCAGGCGTGGTGTCACACACCTGTGATCTCACACTCCAGAGGCTGAGGCAGGAAAATTGCAATAAATTCGAGACCAGCCTGGACTACACAGCAAGAGCCCCCATCTTAAAAAAAAAAAGAAAAAAGAAAGAAATTTAGCAAGATCCTGTCTCAAAATAAAAGGGCTGAATGTGAAGGCTCTAGGTTAAATCCCCAGAACCACAAAAACAAATTTCAAGTATTGATGAAAGACACCAACTCACAATTTGTGGAGTTAATCCCAAATAAGACAAATAAAAAGAAACACACCCTTCAATAACAGCAAAAGAGAGAAGGAAATAGACTACCTTCAGCGTAACCCTTGACTGAAGGGGACTTCTCAACAGCAGAATGTGAAATTAAATGTAGTTTCCAATGTAGACTTTTATTCCCTTCAACAATAACTTTTAAGAGTGTGCATTGTACCAGCCTCTTTGACACACGGGACTCACTGGCAGGCTGAGGAAGGAAGATCCCAAGTGGAAGAGGCTAGCCTGAGTAATTTTTTTAAGAACCTGGTGATACAGCTTCATGGTAGAGCTCTGGGCCTGGGTTAAAACTTCAGTCCCAGAACAACAACAAAGAAAGATTTCTCTGAGTGCCCAGCCCTGTGCAGGGAAGTAGTAGGGCCACAACCCTGACCGGGACACTGCTGACCCTGCCCTCCTGGGACTGTTATTCCTGTGAGGGAGACAGAGTGGTCCCAAATAGTGACCACCCAGATTGTGCAGAGCTGGGAGGGAGGAAGTATAGAGGGGCACCTGACGCAGGCCCGGAGTCAGGGAGGGCTTCCTGGAGGAGACAGCCAAGCTGTAGCTTGAAGGAGCTGGCGGGGGTCAGTGGGTACAAATATTTCACACAGAAGGACCAATACATCCAAAAACCCAGGGTGGAGTGGAAGCTGGGAATGTTTTCTAAACATACGATCATGATCCTCTAGTGCTAATGAAACTTCTGGGCTCCCCAGTGCCCTACTCAACACATAGTCCAAAATCTTTAGCTTGACATTCACACATTTGTTCGTTCATCCGTTTCTTTTTTCATCTGTTCAGCGTTCACACTGTGCGCGCTCAGAGAGCTGAGTGGGAGTTTCCCAGGCCCTGTGCCAGAAACACGGCATAACTGGGAAATCCCAGCCCTGTCCTTGGCACATCAGGGCTGGGGGCAGGGAAAGGGTTACAATCACAAGTCCCCGGCCACATCTGCAGAGGTCCAGAACCAGGTACACCTGGAGCCGGATGAACCCAAATCAATGCTTTTCACATCCCAGGTGATCTGACACAGTGGCCAAAGAAGTCACTTTGAGACATGCTGGCTAAAGCCCAGGCTCTGGGCCCATGATCCTGTATGACTTGAGCCAGATGAAGTCACCACTCGGGCTTCGGTTTCCTCATCTGGAAAACTGGTGATTCTCCTCCTCCATGATCTCTCCTTTCTTCCCACTCTCAATCCACCTGAGCTACACTGGCCTCCTGAATGCTCCTTGAATACGTCCATCAGTGGCAACCACAGGGCCTTTGCACCAGCTGCTCCTTCAGCCTGGGGCAGTCTTCCCCATGCAGTAAACATTTAGTGAAGGAATGTGATTAAAAATAATGGCAAATGCTCACTATCTATTTCAATAACTTCACCTGTATTATCACCTGTCACCCTCAAAACATCCCCGTAACAGGGGATCTGCAATCATTTACCTTTTTGTAAAATGGGGAAAAGGGGCCAAGAGCCACACAGCTGAAAATGGCAGAGCCAGGACTGGAACCAGGCCCTGTCAGTGCAGTGACCATGCTCCCTTCTGTCATCATATTCTTCTTTTCTCACCTCTCCTGCAGCCAGCCTGTCTCCACATTCTCTGACAGTGTGTACATGTCCCTCCTCTCTCTAGAGACCTAGGCTTGAGTGATGACATCAATAAGCAATGTCACTTCTCTGAGCCTCAGTGTTTTGCTCTGTAAAATGGGCACAATGACAAGACTGTTTGACAAGGCTGTCCCAACGAGATTGCATAGCAAGCATGCAATAAATAAGAGACCAGGAGGACAGTGATGATGGCCACATCTTGGTTGGCTCTGGGGGTCTCTTCATCTTCCCTGTCTTAATCTGGGCACGTGTTTCTGACTCCTGAGTCCCCACCACCTGTCTGTCTGCTTCTCTTCTTTCTAATCCTTGCCCTCTGTAAACCCCCGATCTCCACCGGCTGTTTTCTCTACCGGCTGTTTCCTCCACTGTTTGAGTCAGGCATCGAGGGAAACTCACAAGTAAACAGGGCAGCCGGGGCGTGGGTTTGGCAGAGTGGGCGTGGCCTGGGGGAGGCTGTAAACAGCAGGCTGATGAATTTCGTGTCAGTATCATCTTGGGCTTCCGCTTTAAAGACAGCAGCAACCGGCCAAGCCAAGGGGCTTATCTGATGAGGCGTGTCCTTCCATTGACTCAATAAAAAAATAAAAATAAAAGAGAGGGGAAGGAAGGGCAGCATGGCCCGAATAACAGCGTTCTAGAAGAAAACAACTAAGGAAAAAAAAAATAACAAAAGAGGTGGAGGGATCCCCACACTGGCAAGCAATAGAATCTGGGATTCTACTAGCAATAGGTGCAATTGTGAAGGGGAGTCGCGGAGCCCCAGACCTTCTCCCTCAGTCTTTACATGACTCAGACTCCAGCAGTTCTGGGTCTTGGAGTCCAGGCCTTGCCAACACAGGGAGTGAAGGTCACCACTGTGACTTTATTTAAAGCATTTGGGACAGAGATCCCTGTGCCCATCGTGGTCAACCCCAATGGCATTTGTTCTTCCACACTGCAGACTACAGTCTCTTCTTCCTTCTAGGACGTCTAGCAATGCCCGACAGGTCTCTTACAGGCTCACACCCACCCCACCCTGCCTAGGTCCTGCCTCGGTCCTGCCTCAGTCTATGCCTGAAGTCTCCCCAAGCTCCACTGCTTCTCTTAACCACTTACAGTTGGTTCAGAGCAAGCACATAGGGGCAGGAGGATACCTGAGTCAAGGATGGGCAGCCCTGGGCTTTCGTCCAGCTCACCACCTGCTGTCCCTATGACTTCGGACAACCTCCCTGCCTCTCTGAGCCTCTCGGTCCTCATCTGTACAATGGGACTTTGCACCGAGCCTGTGTCGCAGGATCTGGGACAGAGGTTCAAAGAGACAACCCAGGGCCGGGGATTTAGCTCAGTGGTTTTGCCGCCTGCTGTGCAAGCCAAGGACCCAAGTTCAATCCCCGGTACCAAAAAACAAAATAACCCCAGACAACCCAGGAAGAGCTCTGGGCACGGTGCTGGCCTAAAGGAGACACTCAGTATGGGTCCCCTGGGGATCACTGCCTTGGAGCTTAATCACCACAGCTGACATTTAATGAGCACATCCTGTCAGCCCAGCCCTGTGCTAGGGGCATTACAATCACAGTCAGTCTGCTCTGGGCAGAGGCTGACACCATCCTCTCCTGATAGGTGAGGAAACTGGGGCTAGGAGAGGCTAAGTAACCACCTCACAGCCACTCAGAAAGCAGGTTTGAACTTTTCTTCTTTTCAGTACTGTGGACTGAATTTAGGGCCTTTGCACTGAGCTACATCCCCAGCCCTTCTAACATTTTTGTTTGTTTGTTTTGACACATAGTCTTACTTAGTCACTAAGCTGCTCAGGCTGAGCTCAAACTTTTAATCCTCCTGCCTCAGCCTCCCAGAGTGCTAGGATTTCGGGTGTGTGCTACGACACCCAACTACACTGGGCTGCTTACTGAGCACGATGCTGTCCTGTCCTTTCTCCATACTTGTGCCCAACTCTCTGCTCAGGCCCTCTGCTTCTTCTAAAGTCAATTCCTGTATCTCTGGGATCAGACGTAGTTGTCAGTCCTTATTCTGCCATTTCTGGTCTGTGTGACCTGAGTATGTCCCTTAACCTCTCGGAGCTTCCCTCCCCTATAGAATGGGAATGGCAGTACTCACCTCCTTGACCGTGCTTATAAAGGACCAACCACTACAGCATGTACCCAATACACATTCATTGAATAAGTGGCTCCTCCTGGGGCTGGGGATGTAGCCCAGTGCCAGAGGGTATGCTTAGCATGGGCAAGGGCCTTGGCTTCCATTCCCAGCACACATGCACACTACACACACACACACACACACACACACACACACACACACACACACACACACACACACACACACACACACACACACACACACACACACACACAGACGCATCATTTAGTATAATGAAGAAAAAAGTTTTAATCAGAAAGGGATTTGGTTTGCTTTAAGTTTTTGAGGCAGGGCCTCCCTATGGAACCCAAACTGACTGCAAATTTGCAATGTAGTCCAGTCTGGCCTCAAACAAAAAATCCTCCTGCCTCAGCCTCTAGAGTGCTAGGATTACAGGAGTGTGCCGCCAGAAGAGGTCTAAGGAGAACTTCTCCGGAGACTCACAGATCTAGTTCTGCCACTTGCATGCTCTGGGGCTCTGCATGTTCAGCTACTCATCTATAAAATAGTATCAGAGTGTGTTTCCCTCATGGAGGTGCTGTGAGGAGTAAATCAGATCGTGCAGGTAGCTTTGTGGCAGAGTCTGGGTCCCAGAAAAGGGCTGTTATGAGATCAGGAATGGCTCTGGTGTACAGGGAGGGTGCAGCCTCTCCAGCCACAGCCATGGGGATGGGCGGTGGGAAGCATTTATAGGCATGGACCTAAATTGAACAGACAAGGAAACTGAGGTTCAGGGAGGGGAGAGGCCTTTCCACAGGACACAAAACAACTTGGAGGCAGAGCAACCAGGGTCATGACCTCCTTCCGGTCTCTGTGGGAGAGTAGAGTCAGATGGGGGTTGGGGGCCGGGGGTGGGCTCTTTAAATCGTAAGCTCCACCTTTGCTTAGAAGGGTCTCTGGGGAGTATAAAAGAGGGTGCAGCTCCTCTCTGCTCCAGAAAGCACCTGCTGCTCCTGCCCACTGGCCTCCAGCTCCGGCCCCTCCCCAGCCACCCACTGCCCACCTGTCAGGGTGCCATGGACCTGCCATCGTTCGACATGTGGAGGGACTACTTCAACCTCAGCAAGGTGGTGCTGGCGCTGATCCAGAGCCGGAGCCAAAGGCTGGAGGTTGAGGAGACTGAGGAGACCGAGGGGCCCAGATCTAGGTCCCTGCTGGAGCGCGGTCTGGAGCCGGGGGCCACCTTATGCAACTTCTGCAAGCACAACGGGGAGTCCCGCCATGTCTACGCCTCACACCAGCTGAAGACCCCGGAGGGTGTGGTGCTGTGTCCCATCCTGAGGCACTATGTGTGTCCCCTGTGCGGGGCCACTGGTGGCCAGGCCCACACGCTCAAGTACTGCCCACTCAACGGCAACCAGCAATCCCTCTACCGCCGCAGTGGACGCAACTCGGCTGGCCGTAAGGTCAAGCACTGAGGACTGTGAGGTGCCCACCACCGGCACCCCTAGCCCTCCTGGTTCAGTCCCTTCTAAGTCCCTAAACCCTCCCCTCCGTTTCTCCAGCTCTTTGGGACTCCTGGTCCCCAGAGCTCCCTCCCTGCTGGATCCTGAAACACTAGAGGTTGCTGGCAGCCGAGCCAGCCTGTCCTGGGGTTCTCCCAGTGCAGCGAGAGCCCTGTGCTGGGGACTGCACACACCGGTGGCTTCCTCTGGGCCACACAGTTCATGGAGCTTCAGTTCTCCTGAGCCTGCTGGTGACCCTGCCCTGTCCCCTCGACTTCTCAGACTGGGCTCCATCTCTCCAGGCGTCTTGGGCTTCTCGACCCTATGGGACACCAGTGTGCTCTGCCAGGCCACCCCGAGAGCCGAGAGATGAACATGGCTGGCTCAGATCGTCCAGCCCGAGACCATGAAGATGGGCTACCAGTTGGAGACCATCCATCTCCTCCTCCTTCAGCACCTGCAGACCCACGGCTTCCGCATGGGCCACACTGGTCACTCCTGCTCCATCGGGAGCTGGGGGAGACAAGGAGACTTACCCAGGGGGCGTGCAGTGTCTTCACAAGCGTATCCGCAAGTACAGAACCCTGCTCGCTTGCTTGGGTGAGCTGACGCCCTTCCTCTCCCCCTAGTTGTGCTTTGCATTCTTTAGTCCATTTCATTTCACTCCTGTCCCCAGCCCCAGATCACCCATGGGTCCTTCTCCCCCAGTGAGAGATGCGTCTCTCCACCACCTCCCATCCAGATCCTGACAGGTGGCTGTGTTTTTCATCCTCTAGCGGTTAAATAAACAAAGCTCCCACTGGAAAGGGGTTGAAGTACCCAGGTGGGCATGGCAATTGCCTAGATTTTATTTTATTTTATTTTTTTATTTTTTTCATGGTCAAAAAAAGAAGAGCCCCAGTCATATTTTGAGTTGGTTGGTTTTGGGCTCCGGGCTGAGAGCCTGCGTGTTGAGCTCTGGTGAATAAAGAGCACTCTGAGTTATCTTTGAAATCGCTGCGTTTGTTTCTGACTTCCAACCTGGCCCTGCCCATGGAGGCTGCAAGGAGGGGTCAGTGGAGCTGCATGGGCCCCAAATTCCCAAAAGTTGGAAGCAGAATGGGAGGGGTCCAGGGCTCCTCTCCACACCTGCCCCATACGTCCTCCAGCGCAGGTCACTTGTGGCCTGGTCCCCAAGTTCCTTCCAAGCCTCTCCCAGAGCCCCAGATAGATACCCCTTTTCATGTCCTATCCAGAGCTCCCATCCTGCGCTGGAGTCTGTGGGGTTGCAGGACTGACTTGGTAGTTCTTAAACTTTGAGCTTCCAGACCCCATGGAGAGGTGTTGATGGCTATGGTCCCTCCCAGGGAAACACACAACGTGCACAAAATGTCGTGATAGCCGGGTTTCTTCTATTCCATTGTTCAACAGATATTTGTCTGTTTGTTTGACACTAATTTATTCATTCATTCGTTCGTTCATTCATTTTTGCAGTACTGGGAATTTAATCTACTTTTCAATTTTGAAACAGGGTCCCTCTAAGTCTCCCAGTCTAGACTCAAACTTAAAACTCTCCTCACTCAGCCTCCCAAAATGCTGGGATTACAGGTGTGAACCGTCACGCTCAACTTTGTTCCACAAATATTTTTTGAGCACCTACTTGGTGTCACTGGTGGAAAGGCTATTTATTCAGACCGGTCAGACGGGAGTGACATTCGAATCTGAATGAATAAAGAGACCAGAGACTCTTCTGGGAGAAAGCCGTGCTAGGCAGCAGGGACAGCAAGTTCGGAGGTCTTAAAGTGCCACTGATGATCTGGTGTGTTTGCAAACTACCCACGAGGCTGGCTAAGTAAGAGGTAAGATCAGAGTTGGATGTGGTGGGCAGGGTTCAGGATGTTGCAGACACTGCCTGACCTTTATTTTGTGTCCTCCGTCCCTGAAATCTGGCCCTGGACTCTCCTCACACATGTGCTAGTTGGAGAACCAAAGACCCCAGTTAAGGAACTTGGTTCACAAGGTCCCTTTCTGAAAATACAGCTCTGCCCACAACAAAGACTCTCAGGTTAAATAAAACCACAGGGCAAGAAAAAAAGACCTTGATAACAGCCAGGCATGCCTGTAATCCCAGCACTTGGGAGGCTGAGGTAGGAGGATCACCTTGAGTTCAGGGCCATCTTGGACTACATAGTGAGTTCAAGGCCAGCCTGAACTGGATGGTGAGACCCTGTTTTCAAAAATCAAAAACCCCTCGAAATCCAAAGCCCTGGGTGGGATGTTGGGTCCTCAGGGGAGGTCAGCCCTACACAAGACCACCCAGCTGGTCACGCTGCCCCCTCAAAGGGGACCCCTCCCTAATTCACACGAGGCGTGCATCATACTATAGGAAGAGGGCCACCCAAACTGCTGATGGAGTTTAACAAAGGTACTAAGGCAGGGTATGGTGGTGCACTCCTGTAATCCCAGTACTTGGGAGGCTGAAACAGGGGGGTAGCTGAGACAAGAGTTTGAGGCCAGGCTGGGCTACACAGTGAGTACAAGGTCAGCCTGACCTACATAGCGAGACCCTGTCTCAAAAAACACCCCCCCACACACACCACGAGACTAATCTCTGTCAAACTCTGGGCAGCAGTGATGGAAAAGAGGGGAAGTAACCTCAGTTCTCAAGATAACATGAAGTGCTTGAGGGACATCCAAGGTGCAGGGGCCAGAGGCTGCTGGACACTTGGGGCTCAGAGTTGAGGGCTGGGGACAGACCAATCACGTCAAGTTTTACTTGTTTTTTAATAAACAGTGATTTATTCAACCGATAATCAAGTGGCAGGGTGACTGATGAGGGACCAATACCCTGACATCTCACCCCTCTAGCATGGCACCTGCAGAGCTCCCAGGAGCTGCACAACGGCCCTAGCCCAGACTCCTGGGGAGATGGAAGACCCCTGGATGCCTCTCCCAGATGGCCCATGACTTGTTCCCTAGCTCTACCCTAACAAACTGCCACAAACTGAGTACCTCTGGGAAGCTGAGGCAGGAGAATTGCAAGTTGGAGCCCAGCCTGGGTAACCTAGCAACTTAGCAAGACCGTTTCAAAAATAAAGAAATAAAAATAAAAAGGGGCTGAGGCTGTAGCTCAGATCAAAGGCCCTGGGTTCCATCCCAGATTAGAATCCTTTTCCTGCTTTCTGGTAGCCCAGGCCTTTCTCTGCTTGTGCTTCTCAGTCTCCTTCTTCACCCACTGGTCCCTTCTCCGCGCAACTCTCTCCTCTTCTTATAAGAACACCAGTTGTGAGGGGTCACTGGCCTGCCCTACCCCAGCATGCCCTCATCTCCCCATTATGTCTCCTATGATGCTATTTCCAAATAAAGTCACATTCTGAAATTCTGAAGGACTGGAGGTTGGGACTTCAACACCTGGGCGCTTGGTGTTTGTTTGGAGAGACACAATAATAGCCATCCTGGATACAGTGGTGCACACCTGAAATCTCAGCTACTTGCAAGGCTAAGTAAAGCAGGAGGGTCTCAAGTTTGAGGCCAGCCTGGGCAACACAGGGAAACCCCTCTCAAGAACCAGAAGTCTGGGGGCAAGAATTTAGCTCAGTGGTTCTGCCGTCTGACCCACAAGCGCAAGGACCTGAGTTCGATCCCCGGTACCAAAAAAAAGAAAGAAAGAAAGAAACAAGTCTGTAATTCCAGCACTTTTGGAAGCTGAGGCAGCCTCATCTAGGGAACTTGGTGACTTAGAGAGTGCCTGTCTCAAAATAAAAAGTAGATTTTAAAAAAAGGCTGGGGATGTAGCTCAGTGCAAAGGTCTTAGGTTCAATCCCTGGTGCTACCAAAAAAAAAAAGTCTCTCCAAATCACTCCTAACCACGCCACTGTCCTTGTCCTTGTCTATTCTCTCCCTTCCCCATTCTCAATCCCCTCCTGGCCCCTGCCCCAGACTTCACTTGACTCTGCCCAGTGGTTTTGTTCCCTCCTACTTTTTTTTTTAGTTGTGCCAAGGATTGAACCTAGGGGTGCTCTACCTCTGAGCTACATCCTCAGCCCTTTTTTAATTTTTATTTTGGGACAAGCTCTCTTTAAATCATTAAATTGCCCAGGCTGGCTTTGAATTTGAGATCCTCCTGCATCAGCCTCCCGGGTTGCTGGGAATACATACCCAGCTTCATTTTCCTTGAATGCACCCTTGGCTTGCCTTCTGGGTCACTAGGCCTGTTCCTTCTCACTTCACTGACTGTTCCTCCTTAGTCTCTGCTGATTTCCTGTCCCTGGCCTCCACATGGGAATGTCCCAGCCTAGGGCTTCAGAACTCTTTGCCATCTCTGCCTGCTCCCTTAGTAATCCGTCCTTGTCCTATAGAATTAAGTGTCACCTGTTCACAATTCCAATATTTCACTCTCAAGACTAGATATCTATCCTGAAGTCAACTCAAATATCCAACTCCTTATTCCACAGTCCTACTTAACTAATGTGGAACCTAAGTTTGTGCAAATTTTTGCTTTTGTGAAAGTTCAGACAAGAGATTATAACCTGCAGGAGTTATTACCCTGTAGTTATAAGAAAGAGATGGAATGATTGCAAAATAAGAAGATCTGCCAAACTTTGCAGGTGATAAAAGGTGTGAGAGAGAAGTCAAAGCTGTTGCTAGAGTTGCTCACTTGGAAGTTAGATGAAGATGCCATTAATTGCAATAGGGAATATAGAAATGTAGAATGGCAAGATGAATTTTTCAGTATTTTAGGTTTGATTATCTGTATACATCTTTGTAGAGATGACTGGTTTAGGGCACTAAATTTAGATTAGGAAGCTAGAAGAGATACCTGAGCTGGTAACAAAAAGTTGAGATTTCTAAAGATAGTAATTGAAATACAAGAATAAATGAGATAGTTCAATAAATAGATAGTAAAGAAAAAAACACAGAGGTAGTACAAACTTGAAGACTCCCTGCACTGAAGGACTGGAAAATGGAAAAGGAACTCATTTTTAAAGAGCAGCCAGAGATAGGAAAACATACTGTGAAGAGTTCAGGGAGAAATGAGTCTCAGGAGTTGAGAGCCTGCTTCAAGATATAATGGAGAATTAGCAGATCACAAGCTTCATGTCCAACCTCAAGGCAGTTCTACAGTTGACACACAAAAAAAGGGAAACTGATCAATCTTAGAAGCTTACATAAAAATTGGGAAAACTCTGGTGTCCTGTGCCACATTTCCTTTGTCCACTTCTGATGGCAGCTAGAGCTGCAGTGGGCAAGTCTTTCAAGCTTTTATTCTGGTGCTGGGTGTGCCTGTAATCCCAGCACTCAGGAGGCTGAGGCAGGAGGATTGCCATGAGTTCGAAGCCAGGCTGGACTACACAGTGAGACCCTGTGTCAACCAACAAAAAACTTCTATTTTGGTGGGGCTGGGGGAGGGAGGAAAATTTTTCTTTTGATGGTGGTACTGGGGGTTGAATCCAGGCCCTGTGCACTGAGCCATCCCCAGCCCTTTTATCTGTTTATTTATTTGGGGGAGTGTCTCCTTAAGTTGCTAATTGCCTAGGCTGGGCTCAAACTTTTGATCCTCTGCCCTCAACCTCCCAGAGAGGTGGGATTATAAACGTCTACCATCATACTTGGCAAGTTTGGGCAAACTTGAACTCATAACCCTTCCATGACCCTACTCGTCTTCACTTCTGGGAGCCCCATTCTCTCCTTCACTAGGGCCAAAGCCCCTCACTCATTACACCCTTTACCCTCCCATCCCATACCCAATCCCACCTCCAGGGAGGGCTGCTACCTGGGTTGGAGCCACCACCACCTCTCACTGTAACCATCTTCTCACTGGGCAGCCAGCTTCCACTCTCACCCCTCTGTCAGTTCCCCTGAGGAATCTTTTTAAAGCCGGTCAGATCACATCTTCCCCTACGTGGGGCCTGCATGTCCTGGATCCCTTCACTTTGGCACCACTGCCTTCTTCCATGTTCCTGGAAACAGCAGGTACAGTCTCATCTTTGACTCCATTTGCTCCTCCCTTGGCTCCTTTATGTCTTAATTAAAACGTTGCCTTAGAGAGGCCTCTTCTAGCTGCTTTATTTTAAAATTACAGAGATTGTGTGTGTACCTCAGTGTCAGAGCGTGTGCCTCACATGGGTTACATCCCCAGCATCGCAAAGAACAAGACAGATATACACCCCCACACAAACACCTCCATCCTCAACCTCCTTTCCTGCTTGTATTTCTTCATAATACACCTTCTCTCTTATAAATCTTTTTTGCTTATCTCGTTTCTCCCAACTAAAAGTCAGCTCGATGAAGGAAAGGAATTTTGTTTTTTATGTTTATTGCCCTGTGTGGACACTCATAAATATCTGTTGAATACATGAAGCTTCGTTTGTTGAATGACCTTCATTCAGGACTCGTGCGTGATGCTGAACAAATTTCCCAGCAGACATAACGCCATCATCTCGCCATCCAGTTGCCTCAAGCTGTGTTCCACATTCCATGCTTTTGCTTAAAATGGGTCCGAGTCAGGATCACTCCACCTATTCATCAAGGAACTCCTCCGATCTTCCTCCCAAGCCAAGACTTAAAGGTAAGGACCCCGAACTTCCCAGACACTATGGGAAGGTTGCTGGGTTGCTATAGTTACCACATCTGCCTGGGACGGAATATCCCCAGGGTGCCCCGCCTCAACCTGTAGGAGGTATTAGTTCCCGACCGCAGCACAGGGCGGGGAGGGGGCGTATGGAAGGCTGCGAGGAGGTTTCCTAACACCCCTCCACCACACCCACGCAGTTGTCAAGGAAACGAAGCGCTCACCCCACCATGCCTTTCTTAAAAAAAAAAAACAAAAAAACCCTCTTGTGTACTTAGGAGGGCAGAATGGGCTAGAAAACTGTCTGAAAGGTGGAGACGCCACTCGGTCTTATCACTGACTCCAGCATCTCTCCTACTCTAGGGATTGCTGTGGCCCACGCTTGGACCCCGTAGGGTAACACAGCCCGGGGGAGCGAGGAACGCGCATGCCCGCGACAGAGTTTTACGCGTGCGCAATCGTAGCACTTCCAGTGCAGCGCTAAACTCACGGCTGCGCAGCTGCAGCCTGCTGAGGGAGCCCGGTGGAGGACAGTTCTGCGCTTGCGCCATGTTAGAGGGTGGGAACGAAACCCAGGCTGGGAAGGCTTCGGGGCCGACCAGCCGTCGGCGCGCGTGCGCCTTGGCAAGGAGCGGCCGGGGGCGGGGCCCAGAGGGGAGGGAGAGGGGAGAGAGGCGGGAGGGGGGAAGGGAAGAGGCCGCAGAAGCCCGAGCCCTGACCCACCGGCTGGCTGGGGCTGCGGCAGCGCCGGTGAGTGACCCGTGGCCCGACTCGGTTCCCACCCTCCAAGACCCTCACTTTTTCCGGAGTCCCAGATAGCCTCCGTTATCCTCGTCTGATTTTGGACCCTTGTTATCTCCAGAGCTCCCCTTAATTTCTGGCAATCCTAGCGCCCCACAATCCCCGCAGACCCCAGTCCCAAATATTTTAGGTCCCAGTTCTATCACTGTCCCAGGAGTCCCCATCTCACCGCTGTTCCTGGACATCCTCTAGGGCCTTTATACCGGTCTTGCGCCCCATTGCCCTCAGAACCCATATAGCGCCTCTCTGCTCTAGATGCCCCCTGCTTGCTTTGCTGCATCGCCCCCTTCAGTTTTTCCTTGGACACCCAGGTCTGCACCCGCAGGACACCCCATTCTCCGCCCCTCTCTTCTGTGCCCCCGTTCTCCCCTAACTCCCACATACACCGCCTCTCCTTCCACTTTTCCTCCAGACCCTCCCCCAGTTCCCTTCAACTCCTCGGCAAGGTCTTTTGCGCCCAGAGGAGCCCGCGATGAGCGCTCAGCCCGCGCCTGCCGTTAGGCACTTCTGACTGCCCCCCCGTAGCCGGGCACCCCCACCGCTGCCCAGGGTCGTAGGAGCCCGTGTTGCGGCGGCTGGGGGACACGGAACCCCCGCCAGCGCTATACGCCCTTTGCCCGCAGCGCCGGCGCCCCCCCATGCGCCAGGAGGCCAGACGGAGGCGTCGGGGGGCGCCATGGCCTCTGCGGCTGCGGGCGAGGCAGAGGAGACCACCCGGCTGCGCAAGCCGCGCTTCTCGTTCGAAGAGAATCAGATCCTGATCCGGGAGGTGCGTGCCCACTACCCGCAGCTGTACGGCGCGCAGAGCCGTCGAGTGAGCGTGGCTGAGCGGCGGCGCGTGTGGGACGGCATCGCAGCCAAGATCAATGGCATCACCAGCTGGAAGCGCACCGGGCAGGAGGTGCAGAAGCGCTGGAACGACTTCAAGCGCCGCACCAAAGAGAAGCTGGCCCGAGTACCGCACTCTACGCAGGGTGCGGGTCCTACAGCCGAGGACGCCTTCTCCGCCGAGGAGGAGACCATTTTTGCCATCCTGGGGCCCGGTGTGGCGGGGCCGGGGGCTGGTGCTGGGGCCGAGGAGCCGCCTGCAGCCGCCTCCTCACAGCCGCTGGCCCCAAGCGCCTGTGCCCAACGCTATGTGTTATCTGAGGACCGCAGGGAGGACCGACGGGCAGGTGAGTACCAACACCATTGCCTTAGCAAATGCAGAGTCCACTGTGTCCCGAGCTGATCCAAGTCCTTTATGTGGGCAATCAGATCTTCACTAAAACCTTGGGAGGTGGGTGCTGTTAGTCTCCATTTCACAACTGGGAGAATTAAGCTTAGAAAAATGAAATTAACTTGTCTCAGATCCCGTAGCTGGTAATGTCAGGAATGGAACCAGACCTAGGAGTCCTGGCTCAGGGCCACACTTGGATCCTCCACACAGGCAGGATCTGATTCAGTGCAGAGTAGGGGTAGTAGCACTAGAGGCACAATGCCTGGGTGCCAATCACAACTTTGCTGCTCAGCTGTGTCATCCCAGTAAGTTACTGCACATCATTTTCTGCATCTGTAAAGGGAAGATAAAAATAGTGTACACCTCCAGGGTTTGCTGTGAAGACTGAGTTCATGTGGGCAGATTGCTTGGTACAGCATCTTCAGAACACTCATGGTTAACTCTTGATACCACTGTCAAGGGCGGGAGGTACTAATACTTTCACCATTTTGTAAATCAAAGGCTTGCAGAGGTCTGGTAACTATTTCAAGGTCACGTTTCCAGTAGAGGAGGTGTGGAGAGTGGGTTCCTGAGATTTACCTTTTGCTTACCCTTGACTCTGCGTTCTCATCTCTTCTGCGGCTATTCCCCAGGTATCTGCCCTGTGTGTGGGGGGGTTTTGACACACTGGTGAAAGTGGGGAGACAGTGATGGCTCAGAGCGACAGGCCTGGAGTGGGAGAGCCAGGGGCTGTGGGACCCCATATCGGGCACCTGACTGGGCCTGGGGGTTGTAGGAGGGCTTCCTGGAGGAGGGGACGACAGAGCTGAGGCACAAAAAGGAAGAATGAAAAAGAGCTGGGAGAGGAAACAGTATGTGCAACGTGGAGGGACGAAAGCTTGGCCAGTTTGGGGAAAAGTGAAAGACTGAAGAAATGTTTTGAGATGGAGTCAGAGAGGTCAGCAAAGGCCAGACCATGCTGGGCCTCAAGGTTAAGGTGAGGAGATTGGATTTTATTCTAAACTGTATGGGAAGCCACTTAAGAGTTTTGAGAAATGGAGGGACATGGAGGTGATCAGACCAAGGCAATTCAAGATTTGAGATGGCTCATTTGCCTACCCAAGGTCACACAGCCATAGGAACTCAGATACAGGTGTGTCCAACTCCCAGTCCCTGTACTTATTCCACTGGGCTAATTTGCCCAGAAATAACAGTTAACACTAAGAGCTAATGGGTTTGCCAGAATTAGAGTAACCATGGCTCATAAGTTAAGGTCAGGTCTTGGGTCTTCATCTTGTGAGCCTTTAGAAGACATGAAAGTATCTTGAGCAGGAGACACAATCATTGGGGACTCTCATTCTAAGGTTCAGTCAGACTGCAGTGGTTTTTGTTTTCGTTTGCTGTACTGGAGACTGAACCCTGGGTATTCACACTGAGCTACATTCCCAAACCGTTTTTATTTTATTTTTTTTTAATTTTGAGACGGGCTCACTAAGTCATTAAGTTGCCCAGGCTGGGCTCAAACTATGATCCTACTTCCTCAGCCTCCCAGAGTGCTGAGATTAAGAGAATACCTCACTGTGCCTGGCTGAGCCTTGGTGTTTCTACCTGAGAAATGGCCTCATTGTGCCAGAGCAGAAATGCCATTTTCTCAGAAAGTATGCAGCCACCTGATTGGTTGTTCAATAAATAATGTATTAAGAACCTTTTTCAAGGTGAGACACTATAGAAGGTGCTGGGAATACTATGGAGAAAAAGACTAATCCCTTTTCCTTATGAAGCCAACACTGTAAATGGGGGAGACAGACCACAAACAGTGGCCCCCAAAACATACACCAGAAGATGGTAAGAATTGGGGAAAGAAAGGAACCATGTTATGAGGGCAGTGAGTGATGGAAGGAGGCCATATAGACAGAGTAGGCAGGAAGGGCTTCTCCAAGGATGTAAAGTCAAGCAGGGACCTGGATAGAGAGATTGAGCCTAGTGGCTATTTGGGAGAAGAGTGCTCCAGCTAGAGGAAAAGGCATGTACAAAGGCCCTGAGGCAGGAACATGCTTTTTTTGGTACCAGGGATCGAACTCAAGTCCTTCCACTTTCGAGGCAGGCTGCGGAACCACTGAGCTAAATCCTGGCCCTAATTACACTCTTTTAACACACTATAAAACTTGGGCCGGGGATTTAGCTCAGTGGTTCTGGTTTCTGCTGCCTGCCCTGCAAGTGCAAGGACCCAAGTTCGATCCCTGGTACCAAAAAAAACTTACAAAAGGAACTGCTCTGATTGAAGGACAGGAATAGGTCCTGGTGCAGCCTACAGTAGCCTGAGCCATCTTTGCTGGGACTGGAAAGAGAGCTAAGGACCATGTATCCCTGATATAACATTTTCAAGAACAATAATGACATTGAGAATTTGAGCCTGAAGTGATGAGTGAATCCCGATGGTGGCCCTCAGGGAGATGTTCTGTTATTGGTCACTCAGTTCCATGCTTAGATATATGTTCATTTACCCATGGGGAAACTGAGGCCCCAGGGTTGCCAATAAATATGATTTTAGCTTTCTTAGTGGACCTTCTATGACTCTGTCAGCCCTGAGGGTGCTAAGCCCAGGCCATACCCAGGAAGACTCAGCAAGGAAAGTGTGCAGTAACCCTCTCTCTCCCTGCCCCCCGCCCCCAGCATTCAAGGTAGGAGGCAGCTGCTGCCTGGGGGAGACTAGGGTGATCTGATTGGCCAAGGAGAGCTGGGAAGGCTTCCCTGAAGAAGGGATGGCGGAACCCCAGAAGAGACAGTGTAAGGTGGGTGACCCTGGCAGAGGAACACTGTGCACGCTGGCCCTGAGGCAGGGAAGAGGGGCAGAAGTCAGTGGGTGGGGACAAGAGCTGAGGCTGTATGGCTGTGGGAAAGTCTTGACTTGTTCCAAGAGCCACATGGAGCTGTGGGACAGTCCTGAGAGGGCCTGGGGCCTAAGGCCTGAGGCCTGCAGCCCTGTCAGTGCTGACTCTCTGGAAGCCACAGTTCTTTTTCTTTAATGAGAAAAGTATAAGGGCTGGGGATTTAGCCCAGTGGTTCTGGCACCTGCCTCAAAAGCGCAAGGTCCTGAGTTCGATCCCCAGTACCAAAAGAAAAAGAAAAAGTATAAGCCAGGTGTGGCAACACTTGTCTGTAATCCCAGCACTCTAAGAGGCTGAGGCAGGAGGATTGCAAGCTCTAGCCCAGTCTGGGCAACTTAGCGATTTAGTGAGATGCTGTCTTAAACAATTTTGAAAGGGCTGGAGTTGTAGCTCAGTGACATAATGCCCCTGGCTTTGATTTGAAGTATTACAGGGAAAAAAGGAAAAAGAAAAGATAGATAAGATTCTAGGTTCTGAGCAAACAAGAAGGCCCTGCCTGATGGAGCCGACATAAGGAGAACACAGAAAAACTGATCAGTTCTAAGCCAGGGGAAGATGAGAGCTGTTAAGTAGAATCAGGTAGGACTAAGGGAGAGAAGTGGAAAGGGATTGCACCTTCTTTAGATGACTGTCAAGAAGGCTTCCCTGGGAGGCAAGAAGAGGCATCATGTCGACCTGAAGGCCTGGAGGAGGTAAGGGAGGAAGCCAGGCAGGTGTCTGGGGAAAGGTCTTTCCAGGCCAGGGGATCAGCATGTGCAAAGGCCCTGAGGCAGGAGCAAGCCTATTGTATTGAGGTCCAGCAAGGAGGCCAATGTGGCTGGAGCCAGTGAGCAAGAAGGAGGAAAGGGAGTTGAGGTCAGTGAGGCAATGGAGGCAGATCATGCAGTGCCTTGGGGTCCTTAACAACTTTGCTTTTACCTTGAGTGGGATGGGAGCCTCAGGAAGGTTTAAACAGAAAAAAAAGACAGTTTTCTGGTTTGTATGCCTTGAATTTTAAAAGCAACTTTATGGTGATAAAATTCCCATACCATAAAATTTAGGACTGGGGGTCCAGCTCAGTGGTAGTGCTTGCCTAGCATAAGCAAAGCCCTGGGTTATATCCCCAGCACTGTAAAAAAATAAATAAAAAATAAGGTGTACAATTCAGTGGCTTTTAGTGTATTCGGAGTTGTGCAACCTTTCCATCCTTTCAAAAAGAGCCCCTTCACCTCTAAGCCATCTCATGCGTCCCCCGCAGTAGACAGCTACCAATTTACCCTGTGTGTCTGTCTATAGGCTGGCCTGATCAGCACATTTCATATGAATAGAATCATGCAGTGTGTGGTTCTTTACCTCAGGCTTCTATCCTGCAGCCTGCCTGTATTTCAAGCAGAGCCCTTGGGCTTCTGGCAAGGGAAGAATCCTAAAGGCAGGGTTGGGAACAGGGAGCCCAGGAGGGAGCCCAGGGAAGAGCCCAGATGTAGTTACTCCGCTGTTGTGAGAAGAGGGGTGGTGTTGGGTTTAATTTGAAGGCAGATCCTATGGCAATTGGATGGGATGGTGTCTGGAGAAAAAAAGGAATTTCTAAAGCAGCTGGAAGGACGGCGCTGCCATCAGCTGAGAGGAGGGTGGCTGAGGAAGGAGAGGTGGGGAGGATCAGCAGCTCAGGTCAGCCAGTGAGTCTGAGGCTTCACTAGATGGACCCAGCAACTGTGCCCAGTACACAACTGGAGACCCTGGGAATAGGAGGCCTGGTAGCAAGCTGTTCAAGGCCATGTATAGAAATGAGATTCCAGGTGCACAGAGGCCAGGGAAGCTCAGCAGCCGGGGCTTAAATTGGGAAATCCTGCCATCCTGGTTGGAGAGAGCCCCCAGGGCTCTAGTACCCCACTTCTGTCCCAGCCTCCCACCTCCCCAGGGTCCAGCAGTGGAGCCTGAAAGGTGTGAGGGTGTCCAGGGGGTTCAGAGCCTCTGAGTGAAGTGGGAGCTGCCTGCCACTTGGAGGATTTCCGGGACTTGTTTCCACTACAGCTGGCACAGGGGTGGCCAGGTTAAATATACTGATTGTCTCTTCGGGGTACACTGATTGTCACAAGGTTCTCCTCTAAGACATGAGCTGGCTTAGGTTTCTTTTTTCTTTTCTTTTTTTTTTTTTTTTTGGTACCAGGGATCGAACTCTGGACCTCATGCTTGTGAGGCAGGTGATGGAACCACTGAGCTAAATCCCCAGCCCCAAGCTGGCTTAGGTTTTAAAAGGATTGCTTTGGAAGCAGAGCATGGTGGCCCATGTCTGTAATCCCAGCACTCAGGAAGCTGAAGCAGGAGGATCACTGCAAATTCAGAGCCAGCTTGAGCTATGTAACATTCTGAACTACATAGTGAGACCCTGCCTCAAAAAAGAGAGAGAGGGAGATCACTTTGGAGCCAGGATAGGGTACAGGTGAACAAGAGGAGGAAAGGAGAAATCAAGATAGCATTGTCGGGTCATGCATGCAATGGGTAATAAATATATCAGCCACTGTTTAAATTTTAAAATCTTTATTACAGTAAGAGACTCATTGCCATTAACTCCCCTCAAAATAACCCCCCCTCTTGAAATATACTTATCCTATTATTTATTTATTTATTTATTTATTTGCCACTTTACGAAGCAGTTTTGCAAGTCCTTTCCCTGGGTATCTTATGAAATGTGATAAAAAATATGGTGAATTCAGATGCCAAGTGTTTTTCCAAGAGAAAAACAGGCTTATAACATGAGCCTCATAACATGAGCCCCATAACATGAGCCCCCAGATTCGGCACCTGTGCTTTCTGTCTTTTCCTTCAAGATGACCACGAAAGGTCAATATTTTGAATCAATTTAGGACATCGAGATACCCATGAGTGTACAACTAAAGACACAGAACAGGACTTCGGAACTGCTTCAGAAAGTGGCAAGAAAATGATGAGATAAGTGTGTTTGAAGCCCTAGGGAGAGGTTAAGGGGCGTGGGGGACATTACTGACAATGCGTCTTTCACAGTAATGCATTTGTCAAACTCAGACATTCACCGTATTTTTCCATCTCCTTAACAATATCTCTCTCTCTCTCTCTCTTTCTCTCTCTCTCTCTCTCTCTCTCTCTCTCTCTCTCCCTCCCCCCCTCCCTCCCTCCCTCTCTCTCTCTCTCTTTCTCTCCCTCTCTCTCTCTCTCTCTCTCTCTCTCTCTCTCTCTCTCTGGCAGATATACCAGCCCACGGCAAGGGGGGCTCCAGCAGCCCCGAGCCGGAGCCCTGGGCCCGGCCCTCCTGCAATCCCCAGGAAGGGGGCTGCCCACAGTCCAAGGAGCGTGAGTCCCCGCCCCCTCCAGCCGTGCAGACTGTTCAGCTGCCCCGCCTGGCCTTGTCTCCACCGCCCTCTGCCCCTGCACCCCGACCCCCGCCGCTGACACAGGTGGCACCCGCACCCCCCAGCCCCCCACCCGCCCCTCGGCCTCCGCCCACGCCTTCGGCCCCAGACCCCTCCCTGGACTTCCTGCGAGCCCAGCAGGAGACTGCCCACGCCATCCGGGAGCTGGCTGGTACCCTTCGACAGGGCCTGGCCAAACTGAGCGAGGCTCTCAGCGCCCTGCTACCCCTTCTCCCCGGAACCCCAGTCGACCCACTGCCCCCGCCTCAGCCCCCGTCCCCGCCTCCTAGGCCAGTCCCGCCCCCACCTGCCCCCAAGGTGGAGGTCTCTGCAGAACCCGTGTCCGTGGTGGCTGCTGTCGTGGATGGGGCTGTGGTGGCCACCAGGGGGGTAATCATCCCTCCTCGGAGTGAGGAGGGGGTGCCTCGGCCACCCCAACCCCCACTCCCTGTACACGACTCACCCCCACACAAGAGGAGGAAAGGGTTCCCTACGCGGAAGAGGCGGGGCCGATGGAAATCTCCGTGAAATCTACTCTCCTCCTCCTCCTGCCTGCACCCCCACTCCCGGCTTGGCGCAGTCAAGGGGGTCAGTGCTCCTTGCCCATTCCAGCAGCTCCCTGGCTCCCTGCTCCAGGGGGTGAGCGCCCCACTCCCTGTGCTAGTTAGTGCCTGATTCTCTGGGGCGGGGGCTCTTGATGGGCTCCCCCAGCCCCTTTCTCTGGTACAGTGCTGTCTGCCTGGCTGCCTCCCTTAACCCTGACTTCTAAGCCATCAATTTTACCTTATTTATTATATTGCCCTTTGTGGGGTGAGGAGGGCACCTCTCTGGTCTGCACATCCCACACCCCTAACAATTCCTGTTCTTGACTTGAAGAGAATTGACCAGCCCAGACTTTGGAGGGGTTGGGAGTTGCTGGATGAATCAGAATGTGGGTGACAAAGGATGTAGCTGTCTGTACTCTAGGGAGAGGGGCTGAGTTCTGCCTGGGGATGGATGGGTGGGGCCTCTGCCTTCCATCACCGTCTCTGACCTCCAAGCTCAGCCCCCTCCTTTCTCCTCAGTGGTGACAAGATACCAATAAACTTATTTTTCATATAATCACTTGGGGCTCTTCTGAGACAGACCTAGGAGTCCAGCACCTATAGCTGCCCCATCCCCTTGAAGTTGGGAGGGTGGTTTTTCCAGCCACCCCTCTGCCAAAAACCAAGTCTTTGTCAGTGAAATCTTACTCTTCCGGGTCCTTCAGATACCAGCCAAAATGTCACCTCTTCCAGGAGAGCATCAAGGACTCCATCCCCCAGGCTGAGATGGGTCAGCCCCTTCCAGTGTTGTCTCTGTTGTGTGTTTTGGGGGCGCTTTTTGGTACCAGGGATTGAACTTGGGACCTTGCACTTGCGAGGAAGGTGGCGGCACCACTGAGCTAAATCTCAGGCCCCTGTTGTGTGTTTCTTTTCACAGCATGCCCTAAGGGAGTGCTGTTTAAGGTGCATTTCCCCCAAAGCCTCAGGAAGGCAGGAAGTGGTTCTCTTGTACGCCTCCCATACTTGCTGCAGTAGAACCGTAGGCCTCCATTGTCCTCATCTGTAAAATGAGCATAAAGCTTGAGGAGTGTCTACCCTTGCTCCCCTCCAAAAAACCCCCCAAAATATATGAGTCTCTTTTCTACAGTTAAATTCTATTTCATCCTTCAGGTCTCAGCTGAAATGCCACCTACTCAGAAAAGCTTTTCCTGACACACCCCTGCCCCATGTGCACAGCAGTTAAACAACATATCAGCTTCTGTCACCAGGCTGAGTGTCATCAGGGCAAGGCCTGAACCTGTGTCAATCATTGCTGTTTCCCCAGCATCAAGAGGTGTTCAGTATGTGGAGTAATATCCAGTTTAAAAACAAAAACTTTCATGTATGGCACTTTTTTGGGTGATATTATTATATATCCTTTGCTAAGTTGCCTGTGCTAGAGTTGAATTTACAGTCCTCCTGCCTCAGCTTTCCAGAGTGCTCCAATTAGAACCATGCACCACCATGTCCAGCTTTTATTTTTTTGAGACAGAGACACTATGTACCTCAGGCTGGCCTCGAACTCACAGTGATCCTCCTGCCCTAGCTTTGCCAGTGATGGGATTATAGGAGTGCACCACCATGCCTGGCCAGTTTTGTTTTGTTTTGTACCCCTCTTCTGGTTTAGGAATTGAACCCAGGGCCTCATGCATGCTGGGTAGGTGTCTACTACTGAGCTACACCCCCAGCCCTATGGCATTTGTGGTAGGCACTAAGCTAAGTGTTTATATGCATGTTTGCATTTCAACCTAAAGAGGCCCAAGGGAAAAATAGACCGGGGGTCTCCATTACCTTCCCTCAGAAGTTTAGGTACTTGCCAGAGGCCTCAGCTGTCTTAGGTCAAATCAATCCATCCCACCTGAAGCCTTAATCTGGCCAGAATTCTTACTTCCCACTAGTATTTACTAAATAATGGCACAAAGGCAATTTTATGTGGCACATGAATGGCCTTTTGTGTGGTTCTGAAGTTTTAACTGATTTTTTTTTTTTTTTAGACAGGGTCTCACTGTGTATTTCAGGCTGACCTTGAACTTGTAGGTAGCCCAGGCTGGTCTTGAACTCACAACACTGCCTCATCCTCCCAAGTGCTGGGATTACAGGAATGCACCACCGCACCAGCCTTTAACTGATTCTGTTTTTAAAATGTGAACCATTATGCTGTGATGCTGCCTCCATCATGACAACTGATGCCAGCACCATGCCCTGGAAATTCCAGCAGGGAAATTTGTAAATAGGCTCCATAATTGGACTTTATTTTCCTTTCTAGAATCTCTCATAAATAATGTCTCCAAAGAAATGTCTGAAATTTCAGGTTTAATCAGTTTTCATGCAGAATGTCTTGAGCTGGAAAAGTAGACCCATGACATAAAAGCAAGCTTGCATGGTGGGCTCACATACAAGGACACCTGCCTGAGGACCACCAGGACAACCAAGAAGTCCGAAGGAACAAGATACAAACCTGCTGTATTTAAAGGGGGGGGGGCAGGGGTATTGCTCAGGGGTAAAGACCTTAAGTGTGAGATGTTGAATTGGAACCCCTGCACTCAAAAAAGAAAAATTTTTTTTGAAGGGCCGGGATTTAGCTCTGGTTCCGCAACCTGCTTCGTGAGCGCAAGGTCCCTAGTTGAATCCCTGGTACCCCACCCCCACCCCCCAGAAAAGAATTGCTGGGCCTGGTGGTGCACGTTTGTAATCACAGCACTCTAGGAGACTGAGGCAGGAGGTTGATAAATTCGAAGCCTGCCTGGGCAATTTGGTGATTTAGCAAAACCCTGTCTCAGAAAGTGCTGAGGATGTAGCTCAGTGCAAAGGCCTTGGGCTCAGTTTCCAGTAATTTAAAGTAGATAGTACAGCAAACCCATGATTATGAATATAATACTCCCTGGAATGAGTAGTAGTATTTTTTAGTGGAGAAAGGTGTCCATGTGTGGTGGTGTATACCTGTAATTCCAACACTCCGGGAAGTTGAGCCAGGAGGATCAAGTCTGAGGCAAGTCTTCGGCAATTTAGCAAGACACTCAAAAATTTGAAAAAGGGCTAGGGATGTATCCAAGGACCTGGTTCAATCCTCAGTACTACAAAGAGATGAAAAGAAAAGTTCATAACAGGTGGTAGGTAAAATTGTGAAACTGAGATGTTTGTATAGTCTGTCGGGGCTGCTTGTGGTTGCAGTGAGGAGACAGGAAGGCAGGCAGCTTTAGATTGAAAACTACTAATGAATGAAAACTGGCAAGTCATTGAACTACTTAAAAGCATAAAACTCGGACCCAGAGGACAGCTTCTGTGGGTTAGAATCTGAAGACCCGCATCGCCCCTCCCCAAAGCCTGCCTCGTACAGTTCCCGACTCCCGGAAGTGAAAACTTGGGGGTCCCCAAATCCTGGCTGGGCCCACCACGTAGTAGGCTCTGGAGGTTTGAAAGGTGGTAGTGTGGTGCTTGCCCTCTCCCAGGGCCCTCTTTTTGGTCGCCATTTCTTTGCCCTCTTCTGTTGATCCCAATTAGGGAGCAAGGGGATAAAGATGCCCAAACCCCACGTGCCCAAAGTAAGGAAAGCACCGCAGGAACACGGGGGGAGGGGAGCAGCGGGAATCAGGAAGGCCTCCCCCAGCCCTCCAGACGGCGGAAGTGCGTCACTAGCTCCGGACCGCAAGGCATTTTGGGAGTTGTAGTAAAATCGGGGGTGTCGGAGGAGCAGACAATGTAACCCTTTGCAGACCGAATCGCGCAGGGAGAGTTGAACAGAGTTGGAGGGCGCTCGGTCACTCCGCTCCTTTCCTAGAGGAAGAAACTGAGGCCGGAGCTTAGCTCAGGAGCCCTCAGTCCTCTCTCCGACTGTGGTCGGTCCCAGAAACTGATGTCTAGGACTTCAGGGGAGAACAAAGTCCTAACTAGACAACTTCCACAACAATTGCCTGCTTCCTGTCGCCTGAAACCATCCAATCAGGGCCTCTTCGCACCGCCCCAGGATCTGCTTTCCTAACCGGTCATCGGTCCTCCTTCGATGGGCGGGGAAACAGGCTCAGAGAGGGCATGACTTGTTAAAGTTGCACTGTAAATTGAGTGCAAAACGGATGCTCGAAGCCTGTCCACCCGCTGCAATTTCTGAATCCTTGGTACTTCTGATCAATCGAATCACCTCCCCGCCCCGAACCCTTGGGCCCGCGCTCCTCCGGGCGCTCAAGGAGCAGTTAAGGAGATTGAGCGCGACGAGGCGGCGCCCCTTTCTCCTCAGCTGCCTGCTGTCCCTTTAAGAACCGGCCCCGGCGGGACTACATTTCCCAGAAGGCTTTGCCCGCGCGTTATGTAACTTTCCCTGCGAAGCGGCCTCTGGGGCAGAAAGAGGAGGTGGAGGGAGCGACGGCCGTTGCGGCAGCGGCCTCGGCGGCGGGAGCAGCGGGAGCCCGAAGTGGCGGCGCCCGCGGCCCATCGGGGCCCGAGCTGTGCGCCTCTGCTCTCGGGCCGGACCGGGCGGGGGCGTAGACGTGCCCCTGTTGGCCTCCTCGAGGGAGGCGGGAGTGAGAAAAAAGGCTCCTGGTCCAGGGGGCGGGGAAGAGGGGCCGGGCCTGGGCCCGGCGAGGAGGCCGAGCCGGAGACCGAACTGTGGCTCGCGCCGTCCGGAGCCGCGGGCCGAACGCGGGCGTAGGCCGAACGTCGGCGGCGGGGGCGAGGCGGGGGCCCGGCGGTGCGCGCGCAGGGGCCATGGCGTCGGTGCAGGCGTCCCGCCGCCAGTGGTGCTACCTATGCGATCTGCCCAAGATGCCGTGGGCCATGGTGTGGGACTTCAGCGAGGCCGTGTGTCGGGGCTGCGTGAATTTTGAGGGCGCAGACCGCATCGAGGTGCTTATCGACGCCGCCCGCCAGCTCAAGCGCAGCCACGTGCTCCCTGAGGGCCGCTCGCCCGGGCCCCCCGCCCTCAAGCACCCGACCACCAAGGACCTGGCGGCGGCGGCCTCACAGGGACCTCCGCTACCACCCCCGCAGGCCCAGACCCAGCCTTCGGGGACTGGCGGCAGCGTCTCCGGCCCCGACCGCTATGACAGGGCCACATCGTCTGGTCGCCTCCCCCTGCCGTCACCCGCCCTGGAATACACCCTGGGGTCCCGCCTGGCCAATGGGCTGGGCCGTGAGGAGGTCGTGGCGGAAGGGGCGCGCAGGGCTTTGCTTGGCTCCATGCCCAGCCTGATGCCCCCCGGGCTGCTGGCAGCTGCCGTGTCTGGCCTGGGCGGCCGAGGCCTGACGCTGGCACCTGGCTTGAGTCCTGTCCGTCCACTTTTCGGCTCTGATTTCGAGAAGGAGAAGCAGCAGAGGAATGCGGACTGTTTGGCGGAACTGAATGAGGCCATGAGGGGCAGGGCAGAGGAGTGGCATGGGCGTCCCAAAGCTGTGCGGGAGCAGCTCCTGGCGTTGTCCGCCTGCGCCCCCTTCAATGTGCGCTTCAAGAAGGATCACGGGCTGGTGGGGCGCGTGTTCGCCTTTGATGCTGCAGCCCGCCCTCCAGGCTATGAGTTTGAGCTGAAGCTCTTCACTGAATACCCGTGT